CCCCCACCACCCGAAACCAGCAGCTCCCTTCCTACCGGGAAGGTAGTGGAGCAGAGAAGAAATCATCAGAATGACACTCTCTCTCCCCCTCCTACTTCCACGTCCCCCCTCCGACAAGCTTCAATGTGTACCACACTCTTTTCCTCTTTTCCTCTTTATTCCTGTTCATCCTTCACTGTTCATCCCTTTTCCATTTTCCAAACCAGCAGCACACTTCCTACCTGGAAGATAGTGGAGCAGAGGAAGGAAACCATCAGAATGACATCTTTCCTTGACGTCCCGCTGAACCATTCTGAGAATCCTTTGTCTTTTGCTGCCTTAGGACTCTTTTGGGCTTTCCTCTCTCTGCTTCTAGAGCCAAGGAGGGGCTCATATAGATCTGATGTGGATGCCCCAGCGGGTGCTCCTCCTCTCACATTGTGGTTTACGCTCCCCTCTGCCTGAACCCCCCCAGCAGTCTTCCTACCCCCACCTCCCACCTCAGACTTCTTCTGCTCCTTCCATGCAAGACCACCTGCATAGTAAGCAAAGGAAGTAAAAAGAACCATCCTCGCTACGCATAAGCAGACGAGATCGCCACTGTCGGTACTGAACGCAAATAGGGACTTCCAAAACCCCCTCCATGACTTGTGATGAGGAGCTAGCGTCCATAAGTGCAGAGAGAGGTACAGAGCCTGCACACCATGCACACAAAGTGACAAGACTTGTTAAGGCCACAGTGCGAACAAAAGGCCACAGTGTGAACAAAAAACAACTCTCTCCAAACCTCCGCCACAGAGAGGAACTCACCCAAAGACTAATAACAAATTGAAGAAAAAGTTTAAAAACAGAAAGAGATGGACCACACGCCGCATCAAAACCTGAAAAATAGAGAGGAAACCACACAAAGAAAAGAAAAAGAGCTGGAAAATCATAAAAAGACTAAAAAGTACAGAAGAAATGCACCCATATGTGCCATATTCGCATGCGACCGACATCTCACTGATACCAATTCAGATTGAAGTTGATTAAACAAACTTCACTAACCATGAATAGGGTTCAGGCCCCAAGAAAACAAAAATCAAAACCAAGAAAAGAAACGGAGAGGGGGGGCGCAGTCCGGGGCAGACGGAACCCACTCTAATGCCATATCCACAGGAAGTATAAAACTGTGAACACACAGTAGATCCCAACACAGCGTCGAACAATCAACTCTACAGTCCACAGCACAAAATGGTGCTCATGAGTATAGCTCCTGTAACTAGTAATCGAGGGGACCAATTGCGGCTTTGCTTGGTATAAAACTGTGAACACACAGTAGATCCCCACACAGTGTCAAACAATAAACTCTACAGTCCACAGGACAAAACATGCTCACGTGTATAGCTCCTGTAATACACTCAGTACGTTACTCGTACTCAAGGGGACCGATTGCGGATTTGCGAGCAAGCACTTTCTTAAAGTTTCTTTCTTTTCCTTTTCATGCACCGTCTTTTGTAGTCTTTGTTCCATTTGAAAAGTTGTTCCTGTACCGTATTTCATATAAAAGCTTCTCCCAACCCTTCTTTACCTTCACAGGGGTGTGTGTGTGTGTTGTGAGCTTTCGTGCTTGTGTGCGTATGCGTGTGTATGTGTGTGTTGTCATGTCCGCAGTACACAGCTCCACAAAAAAAAACATACCTGGGCCAGATAATTCCATCAGACTTCACAGACTCGTCAGAAGATTGAACTCTGACAGTGTGCATATGTGTGTACATGCATGCGTGTGCACATTCGTGCTCTCTCTCTCTCACTCTCTCTCTCTCTCTCTCTCTCTCTCTCTCTCTCTCTCTCTCTCTCTCTCTCTCTCTCTCTNTCTCTCTCTCTCTCTCTCTCTCTCTCTCTCTCTCTCTCTCTCTCTCTCTCTCTCTCTCTCTCTCTCTCTCTCTCTCTCTCTCTCTCTCTTTTGAAGAAACAGTCACATGCCTCGCATCCATGTGATTTGAAAATGGGTTACGAAGCTTCCACAGCAAACCATGTGGTTTGCACATGCTAGACCAATCAAGCGTTCTGGCACGCTGCGCACAGAGTGTGCAGTCTTAAGGGATCGAGAGTCCAGATTTGTCAGCACTATGATCATAATGACTCCGACAGTATGACGCAGTTTGAAACAACATAGCATGATCATCCATACACTCGTTCGTTCATATACACTCCACCACTCAACAGTTCCAAACTCATCACCCTTCTTTTCAGATTCATACACCTCCCGCTACTCGTTCACATTCACATCCATCAAGCCCTCATGATGACCATAATCCATTAGTCATACACTCGATAACGACGTGAACAACAGCCTACACAGCCTCGACATCAACACGGACAGGTGACTCGACAAAAGCAGAAAGTAGGAAGAATCCCTCCAAGAGATGGTTACGATTGATCCAGCATGAAGCGCAGAATGAAGAACACTAAAAAATCATCGTGAAAGCAGTGTTCGACACATGAAGCAGCGTCCTACTCCAGTGTCCTGGCAAAACGCCAGACGTGTTTCTGCTGCTGCCAGTGCAGCGTCTTCCCCTGCAGCTTCATCGGTTCTCATTAGGGCCAACCTCTCGTCACAGCATCTTTCAAACTTCTTTATGACCTGCATTGCTTTGGCAAGGCTCTCCCTCTGTGGTCAATACCAAAAGATACAAACTCGGATACGTCATCAATCAGCCGACAACCGTGTACTAGTTTCCTATCTGCCCCCAGGGCATTCAGGATCGAGCTCTCACAGCGAGCACACAACACACACTCCAAGGCAGGGCTGTTACTCTTGCCCATAGGGATGCCCTCCCTCTGCTGTAAAATCGCAGTGGCTGCCATCATTAGAGTGTTTGCCAGATTGTAGTTCACAAACTTCATGTCAAACGAGATGGTATTCGACTCAGTCCTCTCTCTTCATACTTCTGGATGAGCCAATCCACCGCCTTGATTATGGTCTCCTGTGGTAACTTGGAAAACATATTTTTTATGTCGAAGCGGGCTGCAATCAAGCCCCGTCTCTTCCTCTTCCCCTCTGTCTTGTTGATGGCCACAATACAGTCCATCAACTGCTGGGGTTCTCTTCAAGTTGAAAGTGGAGTGTCCCAGAAGACTCCATAACATGAAATTCAAAGCCCTGCCAACCAATCTGGACATTCTCCCGGCTGGCTCGCTGTAGGATGGGCAAATTGCTCGCCATCTTGTGATGTCTGTGTGTTTCAGGATGACGTAGGCCCGTCCCAATGAGCCGTTGTTGTCCTACTTCGCTATTCGTGTCTAGCCTTCTCTGACATACTTCTCCTTAGATTCTTCAAGGATTGCACTTTCTTCCTGGCCCTTAACGAATGCTTGGTTTCCCAAAAACATGGTTCGCATCACCATCTGGTACCTGATCGTGCAAGATGCCATGGTGTCCCCCATATTGTGGTCCATGGGCATGAGGACCAACCCCTACGTCTGTTCCTTAACTCTTGGACTGTGAACATCAAGATCCCACTTCTGTGCTCGGTCGGTTGCATTGGCTCAATTCTCTTTAGGAAAATGGACGCACCTCCTGCTGTCCAAAAAACATGCCAAGCTCCTTGTTTAACCGCCGTGCAAGGAAAATGAGGGATAGCGAACTTCAGAAATCAAACAGCATTATACACATGAGACCAGATAGTCGTTACCTCGAACCAATAGCAGAATTGCATCACGAGTTTCACCAAATACGAGCACAGCAAAAGCTCATAATTTTGACAATGCTGGAATAGTATCATCATCATCAACGAAGAACCAATGTTGATATCCTCTCTGGCGCTTGGCGCCCAGACTACAGATGGCAGATCCTATCTAGCCTATCTACAATGCCGCTGATGATGTCAACATCTCCCCGACGTACGAGCAGATCTCGGCCAATGTCGTTTGCCTCAAGCACCAGGTATGTCTCTCGTATCACTCACAACCTCGATCCCCAACTCACAGATCCGCCATGCGCCCCGTCCAGCCCCCAACTCACAGATCCGCCATGCGCCCCGTCCAGCATACAGCAGCGCAGCTCGGCTATGGCTGCCTGCTCCTTCCAGCTCGCCCGTGAGCGCGTGAGCGCTGGTCAGCGTTAGCGCAGCAGCGCTTCCACAGCATGCAGCCAGTGCCCAAAAATCCAATGCGTGGGCAGGCCCTTCCCTATATCGAAGTGGCCTGCTCCTGCGTGCGGTAATGCGGTACTGGGCCTTGTCCCAGAAGCTTGCCTGCTGCTGTGTGCGGTAGTGCGGTACTGGGCCTTATCCCAGAAGCTTCCGGTAGGCCCCACAAGGCTGAGCCTCAGTCCAAGGAAACAGGCCCAGGGCCTGTGGTGGTTACCAGCGCCCAACTGTCCTCAGCCTTTGTTCGGTCCATGTTGTGTATCCGGCCCGGGGCCTGCCTCAGTTACATACGATGAAAGGCAGCCTGGGCCTGGGCGCTCTCAACCAACTGGCGCTGCGCAACTGCCTGAATTTCCCCAGTTGCGTAGGCCTCAGTCGAGCCTGCCTTCATTTAGGGCGGCCGACCATGCTGAAAATAGGGCCCAGTAGTGTGTATCGAGGCCTTGTGCCTCGCATTCCCTCCTCCATACTTTGCTAGTCCTCTGGGAAGTTCATTCTCAGTAGTGCGTATTGAGGCCTTGCGCCTCGCATTCCCTCCTCCATACGTCGCTCGTCCTCTGAGAAGTTCATTCAATCTGGCGCTTTCCTTTCCGCAGCAACTTCTCATAGTGGGCGACAACCTGCGGTGCGGTCTGCATCAGTTCCTCCCTTGTGAACCATCTACCCTCCTTTGGATCAGTGTGATATCTGAACCGAACGCGGTACTGCATCTTTGGTTTCGGAGGACGACCCCTACATGCTGGTCTTGGAACTGGCATTTCCCTGTGGTCCACAATTTCATCGATGTCGACCTCTCCATCCATGGTTGGGGGCAGCATTGAGCGTCATGAGGGAAACTGACAGTTTCCTTGAAAGGTGCAAGCTTGCATAATTCTTTGAAAGCGAGGCCTCACAAATCCTAGTCTGATCTCCATTGCTCATGGCCATATTGGCCACAACGGATACAAGCCTGCCAGGTGTACCGGTCTCTCCGCACGTTCTCTGTGAGACCCGCTTTCTCCCATGGAGCATTGGGGTCTACTTGACTCCTAGACCGGGAACCTCCACGACGTCTACCAGTCGCCTTACCCTTCTATACTGAGGCAGCGACTACTCCACCCCTTGAAGCCCGCCTGGAAGTCATCATCCAACTCGATGGTAGAACCATCGTTGTCGACGAACATAACGCAGCCTTTCGCCTTCCAGTTGGGAGGCAGTGACTTTTTCCTACCATCCGTTGTGGGTGTTTGTCCATGCCCTATCTTTGCCTCCAAGTCTAAAACCTTCTTGCTGAACGAGGGGAAGTTGTGCATGTTGATGTTGGCCTCACCTGCCAACTGATTCCTGAGAGGTATAGGAAAACATCTCAGGTAGGAGGCGAGTAAAACCTGGGGGTCATAGCGCACGCAAGGGATACAGATCAGACGCTCTACTGCGTTTGTAGCCTCTCTTACTGACTTGGAACTGTTTATGGTTCAAAGTCCGGATCGCATCAGTGGCTTTTTGAGCCTCCCGAGGACCATGCCACCTATCTTCCACCAGCTTAAGGAAGTCATCCCGTTTTTGGTTGACCACCCAAGCGC